TAATTTTATAGGTAATTAAGGGCGATAATGTAATTCTAGGAACAATCTTGTAATGTAAATTAAAACGCTGTAAGTGTATCGATAGGTAGGCTAATATAAGTTTTACATTATTATTATTATGTTGGAGCCCAAGGCATTACGTAGGTGGTGGGGTGGGCGCCGATTGGCTAAATGAATTGGGCTCTTGAGTTTTGTAATTTTAGGTAAGCTAGGACCGTAATGTAATGAATAGGTAGGTTAAGGCTACATTGTAACACATACTCATTAATAGATTTAGGGTTTAAGTTTTATATTATTATTACTAAGTTGGAGCCCAAGGCATTACGTAGGTGGTGGGGTGGGTGCCGATTGGCTAAATGAATTGGGCTCTTGAGTTTTGTAATTTTAGGTAAGCTAGGGCTTAATTGTAATGAACAGGTAAGTCGAGGGTACGATAGCCGATTGACTCTGAATTTCAAAGTTCTTGTCAGAGGTAAGCCTTGGTGGCCAGTGGTGAACCGGCAATGGTTTACTATCCGGACGGCAATGGTTTACTATCTGCACGGTAATGATTTACTATGCGGCATGGCCATAGTCTACTACCCGCACGGCTTCCGGACGGCAAATGGTTTACTATCCGCACAGCAATAGTCTACTATCCGCACGGCAATGGTTTACTATCCGGTGCCCTGGCTGTCGGTGAACCTCTGTGCAAGGAGGGAGAATGAAGGGGGACTTTCGACTATCGTACCATTAACAATTTAATATAGATTAGTTAAGGTAATTAAATAGGTAGATAGGATTATTTTTATTACGCAATTTTAGATGCAAGCACCGCTAAGCTTTCTGATGAGAATTTTCTCTTAATCTTTCTCCATTCCACGGGCTGTGTTTCAACAACAATCTCGAGGAGGACTGGCACCAGTTTTGGAGGACAACGTAGGAACCGGAAGGCATTCATCATTCTGCCTTTGTGGATTGGACGACGGTAAGTTTTTTTTACATTTTACTCTCTTAATTATTTTCAGATATTATTTATTTGCAGTTATTTTCATTGTATAATTTTTGGGTTCTAAAATTCTAACATTCATTAACTACTACGTTAATAAAAAAAAATTTGTCTACAGAATTATGAGAGGTGGGCAGTGGTGGGAGTCAGCACGTTTCAGATGGTGGTCTCATGATGATTTACGTATGATGATGTTGGTGTAGGAAGAATCAGCGCGTTGGCTGTTCGACTGACACTTGTGTGCCGACCAGATTGTGGTGGTCGGTGCAATTGATTACAGTAACGACGATTTTTGAAGTAAGGTTAATTTCGTTTTTTTATTTTTCTCATTCATCCATTTTCTCAATCTTTCAAATTATTCATCCATTAATTGATTCCTTACATTCATTCATTCGTTGATTGATTGATTAATTCATGTATTCATTCACTTAATCATTCAATCAATCATTTATTCGTTTGTTCCTTTGTTCGAACATTCATTTACTATTGCATTAATAAACAAAATTTGTCTACAGAATGATGAGAGGTGGGCAGTGGTGGGCGTCAGCACCTTTCAGATAGTGGTCTCATGATGATTTACATATGATGATGGTGGTGTAGGAAGAATCAGCTCGTTGGCTGTTCGACTGACACTCAGAAGTTCGTATGAAATCTTGTGTGCCGACCAGATGGTGGTCGTCGGTGCAGTGAATTACAGTGACGACAATTTTTGAAGTAAGGTTAATTTCGTTTTTTTATTTTTTTCAATCATTTATTCGTTTATTTTATCACTCAATCTTTCAAATTATTCTTCCATTAAAAGACGTTAATTTATTCTATTCATTCATTGAATCATTGATTGATTAATTAATTCATTTATTCTTTTAACCAATTATTCAATCTTTCAGTTAATCATTTTATCGTTCGTTCCTTTGTTCCTTGATTTACTAATACGCTAATAAAAAAAACTTGTCTACAGAATGGTGAGAGGTGGGCTGTGGTGGGCGTCAGCACGTTTCAGATGGTGGTTTCATGATAATCGTTCCGATGACAAATCGAAGAAAACAACAACAACGTCCGTAGTGAAGAAGTTTCTTGAGAGTACACGCGCGCACATTTACACACACACACACACACAAACACATCAATACAACACACACTTACACAACATCCATTTTTTGGTGTTGTCGTTGTTATGTTTCTCTTCAACTTGCTATATTCTTTACCGGACTTTAATTTAATTCGTAGGTAAGTTAGGGATTGAGATGAGTTGGACAATCGTAGGTAGGCTGGGACTTAACTTTAGTTAAAAAGTTTCTAACAAAAGAAAATTAAAAAAATTAAATTATACAAAAAAGGCAAATTAAAAAGGTTAAAATTTGTAAAATACAATACCCGAAATATGTAAAATTTCTAAAACTAAAAAATATAAAATTGTAGGTAAGTGAGATGAGTTAATCCTTATAGGTAAGCTAGGGCCCTGAGAGTAGCTTAATTGTAGGTAGGTGACTGACTACTATTCTTACGACTTTACTATTTTTTGTTATGTGTTTGTTTTTGCTTCACAACACAACACCAACAAAACATACTACATTTTTTTTCGTCGTCGCCTTAAATTTTACTTTTTTGAACAATTTTTTAATATTGTTTATTTATTTATTTATGAAATGTTGACTGGTTTCTAGTTTTTCAAATTTGGTTAAATAATTTTTGGATATTTCTTGATTTACTTTGTATATATGCATGTATAAATAATTTCTGTTTGGTATGTTGATTTAGCCATTATGTTATGCTGTGAACTGTTTTTACTAAATGCTATTGTTACGTGAATCATTCTCAGAGAAATACTAAGTGTGTATAATAATAATAGATAATAATTATTTTTTATCGGTCGATATTTTGTTATATTTGTTTATTTAAAATACGAATTTTAAAAAAATTGACGTTTTTAAAATTTTAATTAACCGTCATTTTTCATTTTTGAATGAATTAAAATAAAAGCACCATTGTGTTTGTCTTTCTTTACTAAAATCCCGAAATTGTTTGTAGATATGTACGGTTAAGTGTTTGTTCGAGTTTGAACAAGCCTTGAAAATATTTTATATTTTATTTATTTATTTTTTTTTTCGTTTATTTGGTTCATTCAATTTGGTTGATTGATTGGTCGATTGATTATTTGATTGAAGGAATGGTTGGTTGGTTGATTGATTGATTGCCTGACTAACTGACTGACTGACTGATCGATCGATCGATTGATATCTACAAACAATAATTGTATTTATGATAGTCTAAACCCAAAATATATAAATATATATATATATATATATATATAGAGAGAGAGAGAGAGAGAGAATAGAATTATATTTAATAGTAAGTTTAGGCAAGATAATGTTTTAAACATTTAGTTTAATTGGATAGACGTTATCCATGTTAAATTTCTTGTCACGTAGATCGTTCAATTAATTGATATAATATTGAAAGACATTAAAAGAAGAGAAATAAACCAAGCAACGTTATCGACTTGTTTATTATCCACCGGATCAACAGAAAAGGAAAAGTGAAGTTACATACAAAGCAAAGAACATTGGGTCCAAAGAAAAATAAATGTATATAATGTTTTAATATAAAACAAAACTCAACAATCCATATATATAGAGTATTTATATTCTATTATGTTATATTTTATTATATATATATATATAAAGTTATCAAACTGTTGCGCTTCTCTTTATCAAGTTTTCCAGCTTTCTTATCGATTTCTTATGTTCGTAATACAAATCATGTATCGAATTTCCAAGAGTCATTTTTTTTAATTAATTTATTTGCTGACTCTTTAGTGTAAAATATAACATACTTACTTATGTGTGTGTGTGTGTGTGTGTGTGTGTGTGTGTGTGTGTGTGTGTGTGTGTGTGTGTGTGTGTGTGTGTAATATACTTATATATGTAACATAGAGAAGTCTTTGCATAGAGTGCTGTGCAGATTAAAATGCTTTAAAAGTGAACGCTGCGTCTTGGAGTCCTTCCATCACGCGATCATTGATCATGATCAATTTATATATTATATATATCCATGTCATTGATCTAATTTGATCGGTCTATTCTATGATAATTATATGATATATAATATATAATATATAGTATCCATGCTTGTAAATGAATGTGCCTATTTGTTTGAATTTTGCTTGAATTTCAGTTTCATTCAGTTTATTTGTTGGTAGTAAGTTTGAAAAAATTCTGCAATGGCAACTTCGTCAGCTTTATTCGGAAACCTGAAAGTTTACTATTTCAGTGCGTGAAAATAATTCGTGGTTAAAGGATTTTTTAACAGGTGTACGTGATTTGTTCTGGTTTATAGGAATTACAATGACAAAACAACTAGCCTAACGATTGCCTTCGATTCGTTTTAATATTACTTCTTAATATTACTTATTTCTTAACCGTATCTTAACTGGTTGATAAAAACATTTTTAGTATTATTCAATGTTTTCTCCAATAAAAAACAAAAAGTACGCAACGCACTCGACATACTGCATCCCACATACTGCATGATTGGAACTTTTCTGTATTCGAAACCATAGCAGCCCAGCATGAACGTTGTAAGGTTTCTTAATCGTTGCACCACCGAGCTAATGAATAAATGAATTAAATAATAATTTTAAATTATCTGAATTCAAATCTGAATGTGTTAATACGTCATTCTAGGAAGATGACGCAACGAACTACAGCATAGCATAGATCCTAAAAGCCGTTTTGCCCATTAGTTCGATTCATTGTAAGTTGTTGTAAGCAGTACCTCAATATCGCCCTATAACACGTGCATTTCTTGGTTTGCTACGTCAAATTAAATTTAAATTAATTAAATTAAGCATGAGTAGATTTGTTAGGAAGTAATTGAAGGAATTAATTTGTAGGAATAATATTGTATAAAAAATTTTATATTGCAAAGTTTCATTATTTCAGTCATTCACTGATTTGGATTGTTTTGTTTAAACTTTAAAAGTTTAAACTTTAAAAACTAAAAATTAGGAAAAATGTCGGCTCCGGCCGTTTATAAACTTCATCATGTCGAATTCTTTGATTTTACTCCGAAACCAATCAATTGTATGGCTTTTGATTGTAAGACAAAAAGATTGGCCGTTTCCAGGTTGGGTGCTGGGGTTGTCCTTTTTATTTTTCAAATTTAAATAAAATAATTAATTTTTATTATAAATAATAAACTTTAATTCAATTGAAAATTATTTATAATGAAAAATTTTTGTTCTCAAAAGACAAAATTTTGAATCATGAGTTTGAAAAAAAATATTTGCTGAATAAAAATTTAAAAAGGTTTGATGCGAAATCTTCATACATTGAAATATGGAATTCTAATGAAAACTGGCTTCTAGAGCGGGTAAATAAACCATTTCAAGTATCTCTTATTGTCATTTAAATTCTAAATTAAATTATATATACTTGATTATTTATTAATTAATTAAATACTGAATTAATGATTAATCAACAACTCATTCATATTAATTATTAATAATTATAATATTCACATATGATTAGATTCTGCCTTCGACATCACTGATCGAGTGCATGGTCTGGTACAAGAACAGACTGCTCATTGGGGGGTTGAATGGGTCGCTGGTGCACGTCGACCTCAAGACTTCATCAATGAAGGTCACTTTCTGTCATTTTTGCTTGTCATCTTGTTAATTGCTTTGTTGTCTTTGTTTAGCTGACAAGTTGTTAATGATACGAAGGAATAAGAATTTTCTTGTTATAAATGCCATTGTTTAATGATGCTGACCTGATTCAGTTCAGTATTGGCGACACTTTGGTTGTTTACTTGTCATAATTATTGAAATTAGTCATCTTTATCATCGTAGTAAGGTGGTGTGATTGTATCTATTGTGGACAATGTGTGAAATATAATACATGGATTCATGTGCTGTATGTGTGTGTGTGCGTGTGTGTGTGTGTGTTGATGATTGAACAGAAGATTAATGTAGAAAAATATAATCATTATTACTGCCTCGTCATCAATGAATGTTCAATCCTTCAGGAGCCACAATCATCCAACCATGGAGCGATATGGTGCATGGCCGTCAATCCCAACGAGAAACTTATTGCAGTATGTCTATTGCTGATGTTGTTGCTGTCATCATTATCATTACCTTCACATCATCATCATTATCTCCACATTATTATGATGATGATCAAAACCGTTACATCATCATCATCATCACTACCAATGCCAGGCAGGAACAGAGGGTGGATGTGTCGTGTTGTTTGAGGCCATCGAAGATGATGTCGTCTACAAAAAGGCTATCGTCAGACAAGAAGGTCAGGTGATGATGATGACGGTGATGATTGTGATGTTTATGGTGGTTGTGACTCATCATAACCATCATCATCGTCGTGATCATCATCTTCATCATCGTCATTACAATTACATTCAGGTCGCATCCTTTCGATATGCTGGCACCTGGAGTTGAACGTCCTGCTGACAGGAAGTAGTGATGTGCGTGTCTACAATGCGGAGACGGGCTCGTTGCTACAGCGCATCTCCGTGGCCAGTTCGAGTAATATTCTCGTCTGGGCACTCGCTGTTACCAAGTTTGTTTTTGTGTCGTTGTTATGCTTCTGTCTTTAGTAGTTTTTTGTTTGTATTGTTTATGTTTTGTTTATTTTTTTTGTCCGCATGCTGTGTTGTCGGCGTTATATTATTATTATTATTCTTTTTTTTTTTTCATTGTTTGTTGTTTTTGTTGTTTAGAAAGCATTTGAATTAAATACAGCACTTTTTTTATAATTCATCATCGTTGTTAAATCGGTTAATTAATTGATTAATTAATTGGTTAATTGATTGGTTAATTAATTGGCTAATTAATTGGTTAATTAATGAACAAACAAACAACACAGGGAATTTACGATAATAAGTGGTGACTCGTCTGGTCAGACTGCATTCTGGTATGGCGTGCCTGGTAAACTCTCGCATAGTAAGGTTAGTCAGCTTTGTTATTTCTTTTTAGTTGATCAGTTGATTGACTATTCAATTAATTAATTGACTGATTGATTAAATGATTTATTGATTGGTTCTGTAATTGAATGACTGATTAGTTGATTTTATAATTGAATGATTGCGATTGTTTGATTGGCTAATTATTCGGTAGATTTATTGATTAGTTGATTAATAAATTAAATAACTTGTTGTGTAACTGATTGATTGATTGATTGACTAATTATTTGATTGACTTATTGATTAATTGATTGATTAAATGATTGATTGATTTATTGATAAAATTATTGATTGATTAAATTATTGATTGATTAATTGATTGATTGATTGATTAAATTATTGATTGATTGATTAAATTATTGATTGATTGATTGATTAAATTATTGATTGATTGATTGATTGATTAAATTATTGATTGATTGATTGATTGATTGATTGTTTCATCGCCGACTTCAATCAGAGGTTCAGGAGCCATGAAGCCAACATTCATTCCATTGTCATCAATGCCCCTGGAGATCTTCTGTCTGTTGCTGGTATGAAGTTGTGTGAGTGAATGAGCGAGTGAGTGAGTGAATGAGCGAGTGAGTGAATGAGCGAGTGAGTGAGTGAATGAGCGAGTGAGTGAGTGAATGAGCGAGTGAGTGAGTGAATGAGCGAGTGAGTGAGTGAATGAGTGAGTGAATGAGCGAGTGAGTGAGTAAGAGAGTGAGAGTAACTGTTCATTTATTTCCTACCTACGGTTTACAGCTTCATCATTTTCATCTCCACCACCACCACCATTTGCATCATCATCATTGTTATTATCACACACACACACGTACACACACACACACACCTGCACACACGCACGCGCAAACAGGTGTTGGTGGAATAACTATGTTTAAACTCAGCTCTCCAAAGCCATCATCATCTACAACTACATCGTCAACATCATCATCAACAACAACGACATCATCATCAACATCATCATCAACGACATCATCATCATCACCATCGTGGGTAATGGCGGGAAAGGTCTACCATAGTAATGATGTCAGGTCACTTCAATTTGTCCGCAACTATACACTCGTTTCAGCTGGTCAGTTCGTGCTGGTTATGATGATGATGATAATGTTCCTGATGATGATGATGATGATAATGTTCTTGATGATGTTGATGATAATGTTCCTGATGATGATGACGATGATGATGATAATGTTCCTGATGATGATGATAATATTTGTGATGATGATGATGTTATCCCAAGTTCATCATCAGCACTTTATAGGCATTATAATTTTTATCTTCACCTTAATCATCATCGTCATCATCGTCATTCTCACTTCTGTAAACACTATTATTCTTATTATTATTATCATCATCATCATGACCACCAGGGCTTGATTGTCAGCTGATTGTCAGAGATAACTTGGAGAAGAAGATTACCAAGATACCCTGCACTCAACAGGTGATGATGATGATGATGTTGAATGCGATGATGACGATGATGTTGATTGTATGTGATGATGATGATGGTTGTTGATGATGATGTTGAATGTGATGATAATGATGATGATTGGTTTTGATGATGATGATGATTGGTTATGATGATGATGATGATGATGATTGTTGATTGGTGATGATGATGATTGTTGATGAAACGTGATATGGGTGACTGCTATGACGATGATGACTACTAAAGTTCTGATGATGAAGATGACGAATTTTGTTTCAATGATGATGATCGCACTCATACGTACGTACATACACATTCAAACACACACACACATACATACACACACACACACACACACATACACACACATACATACATACGAACACGTATATTCACATACAAACACACATACAAACACACACACACATACATACACACACACACAGCGCAAATTAGTGCACAGTTGTCGAAGTTCAAACAGCCTGCTGTTTCAGTACGACATGAAAGTTGATCTGTGGAGACTTGGCTCCGTTGATCCGCAAGACCTTCGAGGTGGTCTCCAAATTTTTCATCATATTTTTTCTGTTGGGCAACAATTGTTCAGTAGTTGGAGTGTCTGGTTTAACCTTAATCTGGATGGGGATGCGTTATTTTCTATCCATCTTCTATTATTTATCTTCTATCATTTTCTATTATTTATGAATTTCACACATATACTCAGTCGTATGTTG